AGGCGGCGGCCGCTCTGGCAGCAGCCATGCCAGGGGCTGGAGGGGCCAAATCTGAAGCCAGAGGCAACGGCCCTCTGCCTGGAGGAGGAGGGCTCATGGAGGAGATGAGTGCCCTGTTAGCAAGGAGGTAGCGACACATCATATATTACTCTTCGATTCAGTACGTCTCAAAATAGGCACTTGAGTCATATGAATGAATTTCAGATCTTGTTTCATATACTACAGAAAAGTGAAACTTGACACAGTTGCCATACAGTAGATTTAGCAAACCCCAATGTTGGTCGCAATGGATTTTGTTGTGCCACCTGAAGAATAAGTTCATGTACTCATCACTCTCACTATTCCTCAGTATTATGAGATGATATGTAGTAAAATCGTAATTTAAATGCACTTTGTTGCTGACAGAGAAGTATCACTGTAAGATCTAGAGAAATCTAAGGAATTTAGGTTTTAAAAATGTGGAGTTCAGGAGGAATTGTGTGGTCTGTGCTTTATGATATTAACATTAAACATGATGATATGTTTTTAAAAATAGCAACTGTTTTTCAGAAATAATTCTGGACTCTGTCTTACAGGAGAAGAATTGCAGAGAAGGGCTCATCACCTGAACCTGACCAGAGATCAGTAAGTACCATTAGATCCTTCTTGTAAGATGATGTCATGGGGTAGGACTGGATAAGTCTGACTTCTTCCTACTCCATTCAAGCATGTACTAGGTATAAGCAAATTGATATTGGATTAGCATTTGTTGGATATGTGTAAAATTACGTGTGTTGACATATCAACTGTCTTTACATGCTTGAAAGAATAAATCAAATCAAATCAAAAAATCAATGTTTGAGATTCTCTCATCATCCTTGTGCTACATTTTATGTTGGTGGTGACAGGACAAAGAGTCTGTGGCCATGCCAGGGCTTACTTAGGCACAGCGAAGCTCTGACCTAAATGCTATGTCAGCATGCTAACATAGTGAAGTTGACAATGCTAATATACTGAAGCTATGCCAGTATAATGCTTACCATGTTCACCATACATCCATGGTTCACCATCTTAGTTTAAAGTCTTTGCATGCTAACACCTAAGTGGCCTGACTGATGCCGATGAGAAGTGAGATGATCACCAAAGTGATTACAATTCATCCATAGATGTGTGCACCAGATTTCAAGGCAATCTGTCCACTAGCTGTAGAGACATTTAACTCAAACCCATAAATGTCAACCTCATGGTGGTGCTATAGGAAAGGCCAGTCCACCACCGTACAGTGGACAAGTGCCATAAGAGGTCAGGCATGAACAAATACCTTGGAATTATCATGTGGACACAGTGAATACCTGTACCTAATATTATGGCCATTCTTCATAAAAATCAAACATGTCAGCCTCATGGTGGTGGTAGAGGAAAAGTCAGAGGTCATAAAATGCACACAGATCAATAGTTTAGAGTCTATGAATGTCTCAACAAAATGTTCATGGAAATCCATCCAGTGGTTGTTGAGATATTTCAGTTTCGGCCGAGGTGGAGAACCAACCAACTAACAAACAGCTATTACCTTCTGCTAGTGTAGCTAAGAGCCAAAGCACTACAACACTAGTCTGAAAAACATATCAAGTAGAACACCAAGACAGACTAACAGTGTCTTTGACATTGACAACACTGGGCTCAGCATACCTGGACCGAGGGCACGTCTTCAAAGGCTTTGGTGAAATCTTCTTCATCTACAGCGCCTGCACCTGCTTCTTTACCTTTTAACAACACACAAGATAAAGATAATGTACCTGAGATTTAAAAGCACACAAGAACAATCTCCAGAGCAGGAAAGGCAGAGCACTTCAGCATGTGCTAGACATTTTAGACATCATTCAGGGTAGTGAAGGTAACAGTTGAGTGCTGGCAAATTTAACATCACAATGTTAAAAGTACTGTAACATAGAGATATTATAGCACTGAACTCCTGCCTCACCTGTGGGCTTAGCTGTGGTGGCTGAGCTGGGTCTTCTGACAGAACTCATTACGGTCTTCCTGCCACTAGGGGGCGCTTTGGAGGAGGAGGAGGAGGAGGACCGGCCTCCATCCACAGAATCCTCATCCTCAAAATTCTTATCTGCAACAACAAAAGAGGAAGAAGAAAATGAATAATGTTCTAATTTATTTATACCAGACAAAATGCTCAATACTGGCAAATGTAAATGTTATTCACCAGATGGCTCATAGACTGTGAGAGAGATATTCCCGTAAGGATCAATAAATCATTGTTCACTCATTGATTCAGACACATTGCTCTCATCAGAGGTCAGTGGTTTTCACAGGGTTCTTCCTGGTTAGCATTAGGGACCACAGTGAAATGCATCATCATTCTCTTCTCGTTAATCTGCCTCAGCAGGAGCTTAGTCACCTCTACACTGCATGACCTCTGTCTGCATCAGGACAGTGTAACAGTCAGGCTGAGTGTATACATCCATTCAGCCTTTATCTATCCATCCATCTGACTTTAATCTGGTTTGGAGGCCATGCATGGATGCACGGCCCCTTGTCATCTGCCCAACATTCACATGAGGGATTAGGTCGGGGCTGATGTGATGCTGCCGGTTAGCTGCTGCCAGCTGAGGCATGGCAACAGCGGGAATATTTGCAGCATACACCACAGTGGGAAATAGAATTTAAAGATGTAAAAACACTTCTTCAATCCATTTATCAGAAAGAAAATGTTCCTGTAGAAAGACTCAACATTAACCTGTTGTTTTGAATTACCTGCATGTGATCACTGCTTTCATCCACTGAGTCAGATCACACTAATCGATCCAAGTGTAAAAACAAATAAATAGATAGATAAGGCTCATACAGGCAAAAAAAACCCAGCTCCCTAAATGTCCCTCCTACAGAGACTATCACCATGGCACTGCATTTATGACAGACACTAGCATACAAACACAGAGAAAAGGCAACAGGTTGAAAAAGAGGCAACAGTGGAGAAATGACAGCTAAAGATGTACAGGCAGAGAAAGATGACAGACAGGGAGCAACACCGAGCGAGAAGAGAACAGAGCAGGCAAACAGGACAGATAAAAGGGATTATTCTTACAAGCGCAGATTTTCTTGCACACCAGCTTCCGCAGCATGTCTCTGCTGCACCCTCTAACACGCTCTCTCTTGTTCGCCAGACATCTCTGTCCACAGGGTGTGTGTGTGTGTGTGTTTGGCTGTGTGTGAGTGTTGCCTTATATGTGCCTGTGTGCCATAATATCCACCCCTCTCTCTCTCAGCCCAGTTATCAGTGTGTGTGTGTGTGTGTGTGTGTGTGTGTGTCACATCCTGATGCTGTCGGTGTATAGAGGAGGCACTCATGGTGAAAACAGGGAGGGGTCTATTGTTCTCAGATCACCTTTTTATTGTTTAATGAGGGCGCTTCCCATACACTCCCACCAACAAAACTGTATATTATTACTGTTAAAAACCAGCATCAGCACAGTTTCCCAGAATGATGTCATTACTGCAGACCTGACAAAGGCACAAAGCATGAAGACCACTCTTTAATAATCAGGGTAGGTATAATTATTTAGTATTATTTCTAGCTTTTAAATTCCCTGTGACCAGCCCCTACATTCACTGAGACAGCTGTGAGAATGACTGAAGAAGTGGCTGACCAACTGACCAACATTTCTCTTTTTACAGCCCTACGTTTGTGCTAGCAGGAGGGAAAGAAGAAAACAGCAAGAACTGGAGCTGATGGAAACCACAGCTGGGCAAAGGGCTTCAATCTGAGTGCACCCCCCACATTACCCCGCTGAAGATTGGTAATGATATGCAGGCACTCACATGACATCACCGAACTCTGGACTAACAAAGGTGTACTCCAAACCCTGGCTTGAATCCGCAGTCCTGTGTGTCAATTCAACAAAATGCCACACGTAGAAGCACCACTGTGAACAGTACAGACTAACAAACCCAAACTGAATGGGTCCAAGGGAAGAAGGTACTTATTGCCCCCTCACATGGTGCCCGCAGCCTATTTCAGCAGGTTTACCTGCCGTTGCTGATAAATAACAAGCAACACACCAGTATAGCCAAATGAAGCCCAACCACTGATGACAGTAGATTGTTCCACCCTATCAGATGCCACAAAACGGTAACAGAGCTGTCAGCCTTGAGAGGAGCTCAGAGGGCTACCTTTCATTAGCATATAGTGCTGGGTATCGAGCTTCAATACTTTTACAGCATTGATCAAATTACTTCAATACCATCAATCATCAAAAAATGTCGAGTATTTAAAAATGTTTTTCTGCAATTTTACTTATTGATGTTAATGTTAACAGAACTTACGGTTGTGGTAAATAGAAGGCTGACTTTGCCAATGTCCCACATTTTGTTTGAGGCAGACATAATGAAAATGAAGTGATCCAGACATAAACACTCCAAACAAGATATGAGCTCACCCTGTTCAATCCCCAGGTGCACTAGAAGGCCAAGAGCTTGGGCACCTCAATAAAAAGCACGGCACCCTGCTACACAGAAAAGCACTGATCACGGCGGTGAGGGTCGCCGTTCTCAGCAGTGCTGACACACAGCGATTTATCAGCATCAGGGACGCAGCTAGAGCTCAGGTAACGTGAAGAGCAGTTCAAAGCCAGGAGAGGATACAGTATTCTCTGATAATGACTTGAAACAATAATTCACAAAGTTGGCTGAGTGCTTTTCCAGCAATATTCAGCTACTGTTGGCATGTAGGTAGCTATTTAACCAGGAGGCATCTTCAGATACATTATGTCTTTGATAAAAACAGGCATGGGCAAGTAAGGGCAAAGTAAGCACCTGACAAGTAAACGTGCTTCATGACATTGTTTCTAAACTACCATAAAAATGTAGTAATGTCCTAAATAGTGCTGCTCACAGATTTACAACGCTGCTGACAACAACCTGCAGTGTACAGCCAGACAGATGATGGAACTGATACGTCATGGCAGAAACTCTGGTGGTTAACAAAACCGCATCATCTCACTTTACATATATTTAATGCAGATTCGGCCATTCTCTTATACACTCTTTAAAAAAACACATACACACACATGTAAAGCTGCATGGAGTCCAAGGCAAGTTCCTCTTTCTCCTGCATAGCAGATCATTTTAAGTGATACTGATATAAATGAGCTGCCCAGTAGGTGTCAGGATGCAACACTGAAGTACTCGAAGCTGCTGAAGCTGCACTGGCATTAGAAGAGTTGCCAGTAATCCCTCTCTGAACCTCAGATTTACATAATAGGGAGGATTTTCTCTCCTCTCACTGTACTCTTCAGAAAAAGAACAAAAGCCTAAAGGCACGAGGGATTACAAGAAAGTTCTGGAAAGTTAAATCCTTAGAATGGGAGAGTCAGCTAATAACTGTTGTGTACTGCCTGACAGGAGGGGGGAGACTGCCTTCGCCTCTTCTCCTTTCAACCTCTGCTCTCCCTCTATCATCCATTTCCCTCAATCTGAGTCCCCAGTCTCTCTCCCATTTTCTTTTCAGTCACACTTTGTTAGCCTCTGATCATCTGTCCTCTCCTTGTTCTCCCTGAAGATCAGAGAAACGAAAGGATTTTCTGTCAAGCTGCAGGTCGTGCCCATCACCCAGGCCGTGGTTTAATCAGCAGCCCGTGGATTTACATAAGACGCAGATGACTGGTGATTGGTGTTATGTCATAACCATAATATCCTGCTTTGCTGACAAACTGGAGGCAGAAGATTAACCTTCTGGCTACAAGTCCTGCATTTATAATATCACATATTTAGCAGCCTCCGAGTACCCTGCTTTGTGATGGCTCTCATTTTGTTTCCTCCCACAGTACTGTACCTGTCAGATACCAGGAACACTGTCTTGACAACGGTGGCGGTGGGTTGAGGGCACAGACGACTTCAACACAAACTCACTGTGGAATGTGTTTTTGCTTCATTAGTTTGTTATGTAAAATACGACAAGGTGAAATTTAACTGCCTTAACAGCATCATGTTACTCTTTAACTTGTAGTTAAAAGCCTCTGAGGCTTTGATTTACTCGGCTGTGTCAGAAGACACCGACTGATCCTCTACACTTTAAATGAAACCTGTACTGACAAGTGCTGCTCTGAAGCCTTGAAGGCCCCAATAATAAAAGGCTAAATATCTGCTTGGCTAAAATACAAGGAAGCGCTGTATGTTACAGCAGACCAGTGAGAGGTGTAATTCTGCTTTCTGGTTGGAAAGATGACGACATGTACATGACATTAACATGTATGTCTGAAGACTACGTATCTAAATTGGATTGTAAACAAATCAGCCACAGTGAAGCAACCCTAACAGGATAAAGCTCTGCCAACTCTGACTATAGTGTAATATATTCAGCAGCAACACACAGTTACAACTAATGATTTTCTCATTATTGATTACGGCACAGATTTTTCAGAACTAACATATTTCTCCTTCAGCCTATAAAATGTCAAAAATAGAGCTTTTTTGTCTCACAACCACAACAAGTGTCTTCACATTGCTTGTTTTGCCTGTCTAACAGTCCAAACCCCACAGATATTCCATAAACAACGTTCAAAAACAAAGAAAATAAAAGATGTTGATGTTAAATGATGATGTGACTTATCACTGCGCCCCACAGAGGGCATCAGTCTGTCATAAATCTGCTGGTGGCACCATTCTCTAGCCCAAACCTACAGTACCTTTAAACTGACCACACACACGAAGCTGCTTTTAGCGCCGCGTCACCTAAGGAAAGAGTCAACACTCAGGGCATGACCTGGCCTCATATCTGCATTGTATCTCTTTAGGCTAAGCTGCTGTGGTGGTGTGTGGTCCCACTGGTTGACAGGCAGTTTCATCTGAATAACACAGCCTGCCCAGTAGCCCAGTGTTATCCTTACTTATCTAGTTCCACCAGTTCCACTAGTAGTTACCAGTTATACCAGAAAACCCAGTCACCTAGAGCAGCTTTAAAGCATTCTCAGAATCCTGTTCTTACCCAAGCAAAGAGCGGATACTTCCCGCCATGACCTGGTCTTATATCACATTATAACAGACTAGGTTAAGCTGCGGCAGCTGGCCCAGCAGGATTATTTAGGGAACTTCAGAGAGCCAGGCCCACTCAGTTCTCCAGCACTGGGTTGTTGTGCTAGCAATCGACTGGACTATGAAAACAGCCAACATCAGGCTCCCACCAACCACCGTATCATACTGTCAGTCTGCGTACAAAAAATGGGAGAATGATCTCCAAAATGCAGTGTTTATGATATGCAAGCGACGTGAGGCAAAAAGGCCATTCAGAGTGTGGGTGATGTTATCACAGCACACTGACTGGGCAGAAACACATCACAGCAGCCTGGCTGGCTCTGAGGACAATGGGCCGGCTGTCCCACTCAGACATTATAAACAGCTGAAGACATAAAGGCAGAAAACAGACTTGCCAGTTCCCCAGTGGTCCTGTAAGGCTACCAGCCTCTTATTCAGTCCAGCTAACTGTTGATTTTATTCTCGACTTGCCTTGGTTAAAGCAGTTTATAACTCTGAGGGAATATTTTCTTCAGCTGCTACATGTTCCACTGTGTTCACCAGCTGGTTTCTAGTGTCCGTCTGCAGTTTGCACAGTGTATGATGAGGTTTTAAAACTTTTTCCCTGAAAACAGCAGCGTAGCACTGTGAGTCTTCTATTTCCCATAGAAAACCTGAATGCATCACACACAATGTGGCATTAAAACTAAATATAAAAAGGTTCTTTCTTCTTTCAAGCCACAACCTCCTCCACATTGTGCAGCAGCCAATAGCAAGTATGAGCATGCACACACACACACACACAAGTAAACCCATTAAACTCTTCACAAAGCAGTGCATTCACTCCACAGATACATGTGTCGATCAAAGAAGTACCTTAGAATAAGCATTCCTTCTTCTATGTCCCTGCTTTCTCCTGCTCTTAACTATTTCCTATATGGTGTAACACATTATGCTACACATGCACACAGACATGCATGTACACAGTCATTTCTCCTTTTATAAATGAATATTAAGTCATCTGAATGAAAAGGCATCAAAAGCTTCATTCTTAGTGCTGTATTTGTATCAGTCTGCATGAGGTAAAGTGGCTGGAGCAATGTGCTACTGCAAATATTTAAACCCACTGGCATGGTGGGGCTGAAGGTGACCACTGTGGACCTGCTCTCCATTTGCTGCTCATCACAGCTGAAGTCTGGGGAAAAGACAGACTTGCAGTGTCTGCAAAGTTTATGTAACAGCAAGGCACTAAAAGTGAGGGTGCTGAAGGCAGCTCTGAGACACACAGACACAAAGTCTTGGGGAGTCAGCCAACTGCAAAGGGATTCTGTGTTTGTGTTGAAGATACTGAGAGTCCATTGGCTGGATTCGGCAGTTTTTCCTCTTTGCAGACATGGCTGCTGGCCGACCGTCTTCTCTGCTGTTATAAATCCTGCCTCTATTTGAGGCTTCAGTTTGCATCATGCATTGATTTGCATACAGAACCAGAATGAGCCACAGACACTTGACAATCAGTTGCTGTAATCTCTGTTATTTAAGAAACACGACTAAATAAGGCATATGTTTCAGAGTGAACTCTTGGCTGGACAAAACAAAGACATGTGAAAATGTCCCCGTAGGCCCTGGGATAGGGTTGGGATAGGCTTTTCTCAACATGTGCTTATGTTAATTAATTGATGGAGACAATAATATCAGTAGATTAACCTCTAAAAAGAATCATTTGATGCCTTGCCTTAAGTAAAACCTTGTGTCCTTGTGTGTCCGACACACCTGGCCAATAAAGCAGATTCTGATTCTCTCAGTACCGTGCTCCACATGCCGACCGAGCACTATTATCAGCACTGATACAGGTCCTTTTAATCAGGATTAAATAGTCTATTTCAGCCTCCATAACCAATGGTGTTGTGTATAGAAAGGTGTCTATGGTGGGGCCCTTCTTTACAGTCAAAAACGATGATAACAGTGCAGAATCCATGTTCTCCTAACTGTTTAATTCCCTTCCATAGCCCTGACACCAGCATGAACAAGTGATGTAATAAATACTTTGATCAGCACTTGTCACCAGCCCATCAAATTAATGAGGTGCTTGTTATTGAGATCAGACGTGTGTGCTTTTAATTTTAGGTTTTGACCTGTACTGCATTTTTCTAATAGGATTATAATGAGAGTAAATCACTGGGAGAACAATCTTTAAAAGCTGCTGATAACAAATTCAGCAGTAAGGAGGACAGAGATCAGCATGAGAAGCTCTTGACAACAGAGGTTGTCAGCTGCAAAATGCTTTCCTGATGTTCCGTTTAAACGAGTCCACAAAGGCCATAAGAGTTACTGCGACAGGCAGAACATAATCAAAAGCTTTGGTCGTATTTTATGTCACACACAGTAACTGTAGATGATGTTATGAGGCAATGAACTGAATATATTTAACAATTTCCATAAACAATCCCAGAGGCAAAGTATTAAGGCGAAGTAATCCCAAAGTAATCTGATTACAATGCACAACTGCAGTGTTGGGATGCTTTAAGCAAGCTGTCGCATGAGGTGCTAAGACCTAAGGTACGACCGTTCCCACAGGAGACAGACAAGAGACATGAGATGTATGATATGAAATGTGCTGAGAAGAGTCCTGCTGCACCACAGCAAGAACAACCACCATTCAATGGGTTTTCAATGTAGTCTATATGCCTGGAGATATCACTGAGAAAGTACAGAAGGTGTGTCCTTCTTCACCAAAAACCAGCTGTATTACCTAACAGGACTGAGTCAAGATTACATAAGAGTGTTAAACCTGTTAGATTTCTCTTTATCATCACTGCACACGCAGACACACACAGACCGTGGGGAGGTACATCACTCAGATCTGTATGATACAGACAGTAAACAGAAAACCAATTTGGGTTCCAGTCTTACCGTCTCCAGCTGTCATGGTGCGATGCTACCTTCAGCACAGAAGCCGGTGAGGAATGCTGTTATACAACCGTTAGTTCAGCTCTCGCTCTCCCTCTAAAGTCTCTGCCCTATATCGCTCGCCCACTGTTTACCTCTCAGTCGTGCTACAGAAATGGCTGCTTTGTTTGGTTCTGTCCCTCCTTCCTTCAGTTTCTACCATTCCCTCCACAGTCTTTCTGCTCTCTACCTCTCGCTCTCCCACTCCCTCCCTTCCCTGTTGCTGCCTGACTATGTGACAACACCATAGCAAAGCTGCTCCCTCTGCCTCCATCTCGATCAGAAGCAGATCTAATCTAACGTGTGTGAAGATGAGACAAGACAGAATTTGTACATTTTCTATCATGTCAAACGAAGTTCAATCTGTTTTTATTTTCTGATAGTCTGTAGATATAGATGTCCATTTGGACACAGTATGCCGTTCCACTAAGTCATGACTTTTACTGTGCTTAATCTTCTTTTCCAGTGCTTGACTTCTTTTTCTGCACTGGATTTGTGTTGGAGCTCTTAGCAGAACTGAACAACTGTCAAACTGATGCCTGTCTGTGTGACAGCGCAGCATTCCCTGTCCACAGTAACAACAGACAAATGGATTTAATTAAAATAAACCATCATCTGCCATCACAAACTCAATTTCAGTGCTGCTGTGAAAGAGTGGCGTTGAGACAAGCAGCTGATCGTGATGAATTCAACTCCACATGAGATTTGTTGCGGTGTGGTGCCTAAGAGGAGATGTCACAGACTGTTTTCTAACACGTCAGCTGTGTCTAACTACATTCCTCTCAGCTCAACCCTTCTCCCTGTAAATGACCAGTGGATGTATTCGGCTGTACAGTGACAGAGTCAGCAGTAAGTGTGTCAGAACAGTTCCAGCTGCGGAAGGATGCAGGTCTACTAACACAACACTGAGACACAGGAACACACACTTGCATTTTTATTGCGATTGTCTCTTTTTCTATCTCCTTATATTGTTTTCCTTTTATTCTGATGTATTGATAAGAGTTTAGAGGAATGCCTCTGGTAGTCTGTTTTGGTCTTTGGCTCCACAGGTGGACATGTGAAAGCACCAGTGGATGCCCACCTCCTGTGGAGGAAACTCACCCCCTCTAGCTGCAGCCTGTCTGGCTAGCAACCCCTCCTTCTTCCTCCGCATCCACAGCAAGACACACATGAAAAATACAACCTATAAGGAGCACACAAACTCAAATGGGGTGTGACAGAAAGGTTTGTGGTGACACAGGAGAGAAAGAGCAGCTAAAAAACAATGGCAATAAAATTAAAATGAAGGTGCCTACTACTTCCTTCATAGAAAACTGCACCACAAGACAAACAACCACAGAGCTTCTCCAGATCTACAAATTGTCCCAGTTTACTCCAAAATTATACTGAGGCTACAAAGCCTTGACATTCATAGTGCATCTGCCCATTCTGCTCTCTATTTCCCACTGTGCTCAGTGGTAGTGGGGGAGGGACATAACAACACCGATGGTGTGAGCACTGAGAGGATAAGCACCCAGCAGTGCATCTTAAAAAACACGACATATGCTTCTTCATTTAACTATGCATATATTTTGTTGATGTATGCATATGAAAAGGTCAAAGAGCCACCTGGACTGTACATAAGAAACAGGGGTGACAGTTTAAGTCAAACACAAACAGAAGCTAGAACAGTGAGCTGAGGAGTACTTACCTGAGCCACAGGAGGAGATCATGTTCCCAGATCTTTGGACTTCATCAAATTTGCTGAAGATTACATTGAGCCTATAACAGCAGATGGAGAGCAAGAACAAAATGAAAAGACTGAAAAAGGGGAATAAAAACAACATATCAGAAAATGGAAGCAGAAAGAATGATGGACAGTGTAAGGATCCAAGATCTGCTGACTGCATCACTACTGCAAAGGTGAGAAACTGTCCCTCTGTTGTAGAAAGGGTGGCCAAGACCAAAATAGAAGGCATCCAAAAGTGCCACATGCTGTAGCTGAGTTCTGTTATCAGGAACCCCATATGTAGGGCGTGGCCCTCATCTGTGTGCACACTTTAAATAGATCCTGACTCTGAGTGTAAGAGGGGTTCGTCTACACAGGGTCTTAGAGACGGGTTTTTGATGTATTTGTTTAAAGTGCTGGTATGAAACAATCTTTCACATCTGCCTCATCTGTCTTTATTCAGTAAGTCTGCCATCACACAATTTATAGTTGAACATTTTGATTGTGGTCTATGGGAGATGGTGCTGCAGATAATGGGGTTTTATATTGAAGCTTTTTCCTCTAGGTATCTGTCCTAGCTGGCATATAGCATGTGCCTGCAGCACTGGCAATACCAGCAATCCTACATGAGGAACTGTGTAAAAAGCAAAACAGTTATGATGGCATTCAAATACGCACACAAACACGATTTTCAAGGTTAAGTTTCTTTCTACAAACGCACTTATGCTCTAACTAAAACATGGTGAGAGTGACGAAGCTAACATTTTAATTCACACTATGTTCAGCTTGAAAAATGTTTACAGTAAACCTCCCCAGGTAGAGATGGTATTCTAAAGCTGCAGTACTCTATGATTCCACTAGAGGGGGACATGCATGGAGTGTTGAAGCCTGATGCCACTGTGTCTAAACTCAGTGGTGATCCAGAGCCTGGGCTGTGTCCACCGGTGTGTGCCTGGTCAGAAGTAGTGTGGAAACACAAAAGAGGGCTACATATAGTGAAACACACAGCGACAGGTTAGCGGCCTCCTGTTGTCGTACCGTGACTGTGGTAGGCCCTTTTTGCAGAGGTCCATCCTCACCCTCTCACCCACATGTCTGTAGATCTCCACCAAGCAGTTCATAGCCCCATCACGTACCTGATGAACACAAGACCACACACAGTCATTGACAATGTCACTTTAACTCATTTCTTCTTACTGGCTTTAGTTTCTTTTACATTTTTTTGCTTTTACAAACGATTAATTAGGTTTAGACCTTGATTCAACTGTACCAAGAATACGTATAGTGTTGTAAAGCTGCACTAACTAAACTCTGTCACTAGGTTGGCTAGAGTGTTGATGTCTGGTGCCTCCCTATGTCTGAACCATAGACTGTATAAAAAGACAGATGACGCATCGTCACTTCCCACAATGTAATAACAAAGCCAAAATATCACAAACGCGGGGGGTGGCCATCTTGCTTTTTTATTTTTATCACCTTTATTTGTGCAGTATGTTACACACAAGGAATTTGTTTCCAGTACAGTACAGAGGCAGCCATCTGTGGCACCACCTCACACTGACGGCTCTAACCATCAGGGGCAACGGGGGGGGGGGGCGGGTGAGACATCTCTCTTACCAGCTTTGCAGCTGGTCATAGCAGTAGTCAAAACATGAAGCAAATCAATGTGTGTGTGTCTGTTGATTAAGTGGTGTGTAGCTAAAAACATTCTCACACGACCTCTAGTAACATGTCGTGACATTAAACATAAGCACATATTATGGCTAAGGCTACAGTTATACACGTCATAATAATAATAATATTAAACACCCTGTCTGCTGACAGTCATCAACTCTTCTCTCTCTAGTTATCCTTGACCAGATGTTCCCTGTAGAAACTCATAAGCATGACTAAGCATTTAACAGTCTAACTAGACATCCTATCTCCACTAAACATTTCTAATACATAAAGTATCTATCCAATATCTAACTGACTAAAAATACCTAACACTGGTTTATACTTTGAATTTTTAGTTTGGCTCCTGTCCCATCCACTAAGATAAAGCTTTATGACCTATATTGCAACCAGTCACCGAAGCTTTATGACCTATATTGCAAGCAGCCACCACAGGGTAAACGACTAGTAGTGGCTTTACTTAGGGAGCTGTCACATCCTTTAAACACAGTCTATGGATCTGAACATGGAATTAAATCTACCTTTCATCAGACATACTGAAACACTCTGTTATACTGAATTTACATATGAAAGGCAGCAAATCGTAACCTTTGACATGTTGCAAACAGCAAATGTTTGGTATTTTTTTCTTCATAAAGGTGTTAAATGACTAACAAAGCTGTTTTCCAGTAATCTGTCATTACTATGCCAATCAGCTCATCTATTAATCATTCTATCTCCACTCCTATGAAAAACTGACAAGAAAACTACCCTCACCAAAGGTCAGCTCTGCCTACCTTGTTGGATACAGCTGTAATATCATTTCACAAAACTCCAGTAGTTTCTGAGTTACCTCATCTACTTTGTCTTCTCTAGGGCTAAGACTTAAATGCATTTCACAACAATGACAAGGTAGAAAAAGCCTGAGTAGACATACCTGGCTTGTGGGGTCCCCCAAGAGGTTACATATGTGAGGAACAATTTTACTGAGGGTCAAGCCTTGAGCTCCATATCTGAAAGGCAAGATTGAATAGAAATCAACTAAAAGAACAGGTCCTACAGAGAGGTGATGGCTGCAGCTATGTTGACATGTACAAAAGAAAAATGGTTTTAACCTGAGAAGCCTGTCTTTTTAAAAACTACCAAAATTAAACCAAACTGCCTTGTTTTTGCTTCACCACGAGGAGGGAAGGTAACTCATTGTCGTTATTTGACCAAAAAGAATGAATTATTTACATGTTATACATTAGAAAATATGCAGAAACAAACTGATGCAAAGACAAAACACTAACTAATGCACATGAGCATTTTCTTCACTTGGTGAAAAGGGACGGTGGCATGTGACTCACGTGTTCAGCGTGGCAATGAGACAAAGGCACACTCCTTCTCTGGTCCTGTTGTTCTTATGTTTGAATCCTCCTAACATTCTGTCCCATATATACTGCAACAACACACGTCACAGAAATCATAGTCTGACTAGTACTGGACTTTAGAGGCCGACAGTAACATTGACATTTGAGAGTTTATTCAGGCTGTGTGTTGAAATACTCAACTAATGGGAAAAAACAACCTCGCTCTCAAAAAAAACATGTCTGTGTGTGAGGAGTGTGTTGATACCTGTGGGGTGGCAGCTTGTTCCATGATCTTTAGCAGCAGTGTTTGGTCTTGGTCTCGCACTTGGTCTTTGGCATCTCCCAATCGATCAATAAGACTGGGGAGAACTGAGGGAAGAAGACGACAGAAGGAGACATTAAGTATGTGATGCCTCCACAACAGCATGAAAAATATAACAAACTAGAATGAGCAGTTGTGTGCCTCCACCGAGCAGTCAAATTCACGAGCATGGGACAGAAGTGAGGTCATTAACCTTGACCTTTGACCACCAAAATCTAATCAGTGGTTGACTTACATTAAGTAAACAACCATGATGTTAACGTTGAGAGGCACTGCATCACTGAATGCCTGTTGCTAGGCTGATCCACAGGACAATTAAAGAAAAAGCCACTCACCCTGGATGAAAACTAAATAGCTGTCATTGTTGAGCACCTTGGTACCAAGGTCACTGACCCAACCGCTAATAAAAAAGTAGCATGGCTCTATACCTTTGCAGACTTTTGTTTGCTGTCTTGTGCATAAGGATGTCTGGTGGACAGGGTAACTGTTAATATCCACAGCCTCGCTTCTGCTCATGACTTACAGATCACATCTGACATATGTAGTGACCTTCGTTTATATGTTTCTCTTGAAATGTTGTCTAAACCAGCACAATACAGCCTTTCCTCCATCTCATTCATTGTACTTTCACTTCCTGCCATCTGAATTGTGCGTGGTTTAACAGTCACGTGATTGCAACCCACCTCTTGTAATTCTTATTTAAATTATTTAAAGCAAGCACAGAAGAGGAACGAGAGTACCTTGGCTAGCAATCAAAAGGGTGTGATTGATGTGAGAATGTCAAAAACAATAGAATCTATTTGTTTAATTTATTCAAATTCAGAGAAAGGAGGCCAAGTGTGCACGTGAGTGTGTGTTTGGAGGGTGAGATTGAAGTTAGGGTGTTAAATAATAATGAATAATGATGTTATATCAAAAAGGTATCCTCAATTTTCCTAAGAACTGTTTAGTTGAGCGTCTGAATCTTACCTGTTCCCACCTGGGCTCGAAATCGCTCCTGTAACCTCGACAATAAAGCAGATAAGAGGTCCAAACCGAGCAGAGCCACCTAGCAGAGACAAAATTAATTTATATTAACATTTTCATCAAAACCATATAAATCTAATCAAATGTCCTATCATTTACAATCACAAGTGAATAGAAAAATAATAACTTTAGACTTGCCCAGACTGATGGCAGTACACCAAATGCTCAGTTGCAAAGGATTATGGGTAAGGTGAACAATTTAATCGTTTTAAGCTTATTGTGAATCTATAAAGGACATTTCCTCCACTAACCATAACAATACCAAATTCTAATACATTTAGGACTCTAGTATCAAAAAAAGAACCGTGCCACTGCTGACACCATGACTGTACACACTGGGTCCAAGCACTGAGTGACGTGCTCTGGGCCCTCCCACACCAGCTTTCCTTGTCATGGGGTGAGAGAGTTGCTCAATGTACGCCTAGTGAGAGCGACCCTGCTAACGCCATAGCAACACACATGCATCACCTGGGCTTCTGTCCAGAGACTGGTGCAATTTTTGGAGACTCCCAAAGTGTTTTTAAAATAAATATGTGATGTTTACACAACATAATGGTGCCAAGACTTATCATTATGTTAATGTCAGACACTTTGTTCACTGCATGGAAAATGTCTTATACATCAGGTGACATAAATTTCCAGTATGACAGGACAGTCAGGTATAAACATTTTATTCTTCTCTTTTCCATCCAGGAATCGTTTGTCATCTACACATTTTGAGTTTATGTCATTGTTTTCTTGCTTTGCCTCACTGGAGCTACACGAAGTGAGCGTCCCTACAGGTCTAATGCTCACATCGGGCCCTTTGTTCTCTGACTGGAGGGAATTACAGTAATTAGACTGATGGTAGCTCCCAGACAAAGACTGGGTGAGAGCTGGAGGAAAGGGATCAGTGGAGTTTTAACAGAAACCACACTTCTCTGGTGGAAACACTAATCCCAAATCTAGGTTCAGATGGTCTTGGGAACCGTTGATGCAGGGCCTCTGTCTAACCTTTTAGTGTGGAAACTGGAGGTAAACCCTCTCCCTCTTGTTGAGTCACAGAGGAACCATGGCAACGGCTGCAGCCTGTGTTTGAGTCTGACTTCAACAAAAGAGAGACAGACTGTGGATGACAGCAAAAACACAGGCCAATGCAGCGCAGATAAGGACAGGCTCCTCCTCTTTGCAGACATATGGCTAATTCTCTTCTACTGTCATAGACATTTGAACCCCACATTATACACATATGTACACAACCCCCTCTTGAGGCTTTGGACCCACAGACATCATCCCTGCTAAATTCCTAAATCCTCCTAGCTAGCATGCACAGGGTTCATTTCTGCTCTTCCTCTTCTCTACAGTATTCTTGTTCAATGCTGCAAAGACCCTGACAGCAAAAACTAGTTAAGACCATCCACACTGGATGGAAAATTCTGACCTGGATATCTCCAACTTTACCGTAAATAACGATGTACACAAAGTACTGTAAAGAACGATAGACCAGTTTGCTATGAACCCGGCTATTAACACGTGATCTCTTGACTTAACATGATGCCTAAAAGTAGAATAAAAGGATTAAATGAAACACTACAGGCCTATGTAATGTAGGACCCAGTTCTTGCTACCATGCTAACTCTGAGAGACGAGACAGTCCAAGTAACTTCAAAACAGTGCTGATTTATTCAAAGGATCACAGGTAAAATTAACATTACATGCTCAGGTATCTTGCACCTCCAAACTGCTCGCAGGCAGATGTAAGATGAAAGACCCTGAACCCACCAGGCCTATACATTATATCCCCTCGGTTGGGCTAGCCCCATACTACACAGAAACGTCAACCGAGACATCTCTGTTGCCAGCTTTGCAGCTGGTCATAGCAGTAGTCAAAACATGAAGCAAATCAATGTGTGTGTGTGTGTGTCTGTTGATTAAGTGGTGTGTAGCTAAAAACATTCTCACGACCTCTAGTAACATGTCGTGACTTAAACATAAGAACATATTATGGCTAAGGCTACAGTTATACACGTCATAATAATAATATTAAACACCCTGTCTGCTGACAGTCATCAACTCTTCTCTCTAGTTATCCTTGACCAGATGTACCCTGTAGAAACTCATAAGCATGACTAAGCATTTAACAGTCTAACTAGACATCCTATCTCCACTAAACATTTCTAATACATAAAGTATCTATCCAATTTCTATCTGACTAAAAATACCTAACAAGGGAAACAGCAGCCTTGTCCAACATCAACAATGAGTGATGTAGACTCTGCCCACCACCATCTCCAGAACAACATGCGCCAACAGTGGCAGTAACATTTGATGCTTGATCAAACTCTGCAGGTGCGTAACAGTACTCAGGGCCCCGATGGCAACTTGACAACACCTGTGTGCTTCATCAGAGCTGCTTGTTGGATGACTGAACAACTCTGGACGAACAGGCCCGCTTCATGCTGTGATTGGCCAGCTGTGTGCAAATGAAAAAGATGCCACGTTTGAACGTCTCTGTCACAATCTCAGCATCTATTACTGTTGTTTTTGACGTCTGAACAACTGTCACCACTTTGGATTCATCTGGTGCTGAGGCCTCTGCTTATGTCACGTTTCACTTCTCAAAAACAATGTGAGTAGCTTTTCATTTTGTCTGTATAATGTGCACAAACATTTGGGAGACAAATCAAAAGTTTTGATCTCTTGTTCACACGGTGTGCCACCTCTAAAGAGACACAAACCAAAGTGATGCAAATTTGTCCTGAACACTTAATCTAGTCAAACTCTGAGACTGACTACAAAAAGAAAGGATAATGGTGACCAGAGAGGAGCCGAGGTCAATGAAGCAGAGTAGTGATGTGAACTAGAAACCTTTTAAGTTAATGAGGAGCTTCTTTTAGATGTTGATGTGGACGTGACTGGCGGTTATGAAAAGGGAGTGAATAAACATGCTGGTCCTCACAGGCTGCCTAGTTAAGTGCTTAAGTGTGTTCCCTAGAGAGGAAGGCAGGACAGAGGGAGCAGGAAGGAGGACAGGGGGTGCTGCAGAGTGGAGTCATTCATTACTACATCTCAAACATCTCTCCACTTCTCTAAATAACCCCACTCATCTTTTCCTAACATGTCTCTGGAACAGGAACACGTTAGCTCAACACTAATCATCAAATCACTGAGTCCAGACCCTTAAATGATGAGCGTGAGATGAGCCAGGTCAAACAGATTAGTGTTGTTTCATTATGATAGAACCAACTGAGGATTTACATGAAATGACCTTTATTTAGTTGACTTGCAAACTGTTTCACATCATATGAATCCTGCAAGGCTGCAGTAAATCAAGTATGCTTTTAAACAACTTTACAGTGCATCCAGCACTTGTAGTGTGACTATTGCTGTTTTGACAAAAGCTATTTCTTTGCCTGTTAACATTAGATAACTCTTAGTTCATGCATGGAACACAGCATTTCCCTGTAACATGAGGGCAGGGCATTTCTGTATTGTACTCTTTGGTCCATGACACAGCACACTTCCACAGCGCTCGCTCTGAACCATGACAGAGCACATTAGCAACACAGTATATTCAGTGGCTTCATTCCTGGGCTTTGATGACTCGGCAGAACAAATGGCCAAGCTGTTTACATGATACAGGTGTTAGTGTGCCACTAGCATGACATGGGAAATGACACAGAAGACAGCAGATTAAAGGAAAACAGACTGGAAGAATTTCAAGAGTCTAATCCCAGGATGAAGCCCAGTGTGTTGTCTCTGAAGGTGACCTGTATGTGTGCAGTTCCCAAACAGGAGGTGGAGCACATGACCAGCAGGATGCAGCACCCTGGATACAGGTTTCTGAACTGAGTTGCCCACTTCTTTAATACCTTACAGCTTCATGATACATTTACTTAACATTTTCAAAGTCTTTTACAGTGTAATACCAGTACTTTTACTCAAATAAAGGATGTGAATACTTCCTCTACTACTGGTGCTAAGATGCAAATTAACATGCTTTAGTTAAAAGCTTTTTAAAAAATCATTTTATAACTCTCTTTATTCTTTAAGGTCAATCTAGTGCTGCAATCAATCAACTGCACAGTGCAATAAAAAAACACCCTCTGTTTCCTCTCCTTCAAGGGGTTTGTAACTGGTAATGATGGTAATTGTGTGATATCGTAATACAGTGAAATGGTGGTATTTTCTGAGACGGTTATCATACCATGAAAATCTCATCCCATTGCAAACCTAGTCAGTACTTTTGGTTGCAGAAACACCTCCTGCATCACGCCAAGGTAAAGTTTTAGCCTGCTTTATGTTGCTTTCTCTAAATGCATCTATGTCGTTTTCCTGCTGTAAGTGCTGGGGAAACATATGCAGTCTTTCTTCCCTGGTTAATAAAAAGCTTGTTTAGGCTTAGGTCAGTGACTCAACCTGTTAAAGGTCTGATAGGGTGAGTAGAAAAACACACCTCTACTTTTACAGAGTGCTAGTGTTGTTAGCTACAGCAGCCTGGTAGAGGCGGTATCCTCAGCACAGGCCAGGCCAGCCACTTGGTAACTAATGTGGAAACTATTTAGCTTGGGAGAGAGAGGGAGAGAGGGTGATGGCTTCATTTGCCATAAATGGTGGTTTGGGGGAGATGCCTCGAATACCAAGCAACTGTTTACAGAAAGAGCTTTACGGTCTTTTACACACTAACCTAAACGTCACAACAGCATTCAGTCATTGGGTGTGCTTTCCTAGCTTTACATACTTGTTGTGTTTGGACAACAAACATTAGGTTCCTGCACTGCCTTACTGACAGGGACAGTATTGATGTTAAAAATATAACAAAAGGCCCTACACCAAGGGTACTGACAAAGATGCAGCCAGATGTAATAAAGCATAGTCCACCATGAACATGCAATGTGGGAAAATGTCACAGTTTTGGGTCTATGCGCATTAATAGAAATGGTTGAAACTGAACCCACTTATCTTTGGAAATGCTTTTCTTACAGGAGCAAAACGATTGAGCATCATTTATTGCTGTTGTCAGGCTATTTTGACCGTTTCTAA